ATGGATCAGGATAGAGACCCCAGAAATTGACACAACACCATTACAGTCAATTAATATTTGACAAAGGAGGCAAAAACATACAATGGAGTAAAGACAGCCTTTTCAATAAATGGTGCTGGGGAAACTGGACAGCCACATGCAAAAAGATGAAACTAGATCACCAACTTATACCACACACAGAATAAACGCAAGGTGGATAAAAGACTTAAATGTAAGGCGTGAAACCATAAAAATAGTAGAGGGGAACATAGGCAGTAAAATCTCAGATATCTCATGCAGCAATGTTTATGGATACATCTCCTAGGATAAAGGAAACTTTCACAAATGAGACTACATCAACATAAAAAGCTTCTGCACAGCAAAAGAAACCATCATCACACTCGCTGGTTTGGCTCAGTGGATAGAGCGACGGCCTGCGGACTGGAGGGTCCTGGGTTTGATTCCGGTCAAGGGCACATGCCCAGGTTGTGGACTCAATCCCCAGTAGGGGGCTTGCAAAAGGCAGCTGATCAACGATTCTCTCACATCATTGATGTTTCTATCTCTCTCTCCCCCTTCCTCTCTGAAATCAATAAAAATATATTAAAAAATAAAAAAAGAAACCCCCATCAAATTGAAAATGGAACCTACTGAATGGGAGAACATATATGCCAATGATACATTTGCTAAGGGCTTATTATCTAAAATATATAAAGTACTCATACAATTCAACAACAAGAAGATAAACAATCCAATTTAAAAATGGGCAAAGAACCTAAATAGACACTTCTCTAAAAAGGACATACAGATGTCCAAGAGACATATGAAAATATTCAACATCACTAATCAACAGAGAGATGCAAATTAAAACTAAAATGAACTATCACCTGTCAGAATGGCTATCATAAAAAAATCAAGAAACAACAAGTGCTGGCAAGAATGTGGAGAAAAGGGAACACTAGTTCACTGCTGGTGGGAATGCAAGGAAAACAGTATGGAGTTTCCTCAAACAATTAAAAATGGAACTTCCGTTTGACCCAGTGATCCCACTTCTAGGAATATATCCTAAGAAACCTGAAACAGACATCAGAAAGAATGTATGCACCCCTATGTTCATAGCAGCATTGTTGACAATAGCTAAGATCTGGAAACAGCCAAATACACATCAGCAGATGAATGTATAAAAAAGCTGTGGGACATTTACACTATAGAATACTCTGCAGCTGTAAAAAAGAAGGATCTCTTACCCTTTGGGACAGCATGGTTGGACCTGGAAAATATTATGCTAAGTGAAATAAGCCAAACTGAGATAGAAATGTATCACATGATTTCACTTATTTGTGGAAGCTAATGAACCACAAACTGACCAACAAAATAAGACAGGAAGCAGGGAGGCATGGAACAGACGCACATACCTCAGTGTGGGGTGGGGGATGAGAAGAGATAAATCAAAGAACTTATATACTTACTAGAGGCCTGTTGCACAAAATTCGTGCACAGGGGTGGTGTGTGTGTCCCTCAGCCCAGCCTGCACCCTCTCCAATCTGGGACTCCTCAAGGGATGTCTGACTGTCTGTTTAGGCCTGGTGGGATCGGGCCTAAATGGGCAGTCAGAGATCCCTCTCATAATCCAGGACAGCTGGCTCCCAACCGCTTGCCTGCCCCTAACTGCTTCTGCCTGCCAGCCTGATCACCCCCTAACCACTCTCCTGCCAGCCTGATTGACTCCCAACTGCTCCCCTGCCAGCCTGATTGCCCCCAACTGCCCTCCTCTGCAGGCCTGGTCCCCCCAAACTGCCCTCCCCTGCAGGCCTGGTCCCCCCAACTGCCCTTCCTTGCAGGCCTGGTCCCCCCTAACTGCCCTCCCCTGCTGGCCATCTTGTGTCCACATGGGGTGGCCATCTTGTGTGTTAGAGTGAGGGTCAATTTGCATATTACCTCTTTATTCTATAGGATACACTTATATGCATAGTCCATGGAAATGGGCAATAGGGTAGTGAAGACCTGGGGGAGAGGGGTTAGGAGTTGAGAGGAGGGGGGAAAGGGGGAGAAATGGGATATCTGTAATATTATCAATAATGAAAAATATTAAAAAACATATTTAAAAAGAAGAAAAAATATATTTTGTCTACACATCCCAGGTTAATTACAATTTGGGTTACTAGTGACTGGAAGCCATTGTTTGTGTCATGTCTCATACCTTAGTGTCGAAGTAAGAATATGGCCAATTCTAATGAATAAAAGTCCACACAGACATTGCTGTTTTTGTTGGTTCCTCTGATACCAAATCTAAGAACATAAAAAAAAAAAAAAAATGCAACACAACAGACCCATCTTTTCCTGCCGTGTTTCCCTTCAGCATTAGCAGAGGCATGTTTGTGATGGGAGGAGGTGAAGGGTGTTTCTCCTTTCCTTCAGTAAAGCAGCTTTGTTCCACTCAGCACTGTTGGGAAATATATTGAGGGTAATATATTTAAAATTAATTTAAAAGGCAAAGGGTTTTAATGCCTTTTAATATGAGCAAAAATTGATCGTATTAAAAAGCTTCCAATCCAATGATTTATTTATCATTTTAAGCCCATATCATGAGTATAACTCCCTGTCCAAGCATATTGATTTTTTAAGTGTATTTTGGAAGTGGAGAAGGAACTAAAGCAGCCTAACAAATTCTTCTTCACCATCCTTATTAAACAGGACCAGGTCCGCTATGTCAACAGAGACTATTTCAAAATAGTAGACATTTTTTTCCCCCAAAAGGGGTAGAATTAATCAATTAGAAATGTGTGGGGGTTTTTGGGTTTTTTTTAAATAACATAGAACAGGTCATATTTTTCTAAGCTGTTTTTTGGTGAGTTGAAATACAAAATGTTAAATATTTATAATAAAATATTCAAAGTTAATTACATGAAGTCACTGAAATGTATGAAATATTGAAATGGGATATCAACTTGATTGGAGTCTTCGCATAACATAGGAACTTCTGTATTTGTTAGCATGAAAAACTTTAAAGGTTGTATTTCTCTTTAGATTCAGAACTAAAATAGAGCTTATTTAAAATTTAAAGCACTTCTAGTAAGAAATTTCAGCATTGTATAAGTTAAACATGGAGGGAAAACCATTTTGTTACTTCTTTATGTTTTTCTATTAAGAACTTTCTTAGAGTCTAGGTGTTTAATAGAACTCAGAATAAATATCTCCAAAAATAATTAAAGGCAACATGAAAGAGTATTTTTGCTACTAGTGTCTGGCTTTTCTGCAGCTGCCCGTGCATCTGCGATAGGGGAGGGAAGAGTAATACAGATTGTAAGGTGAAGCCCATAGGAGACCCCAAGTCACTGTGGTCAGTAGACAGAGGCACAAGTCTAAATGTTCAGTAGCTGTATGACTTGGGCAGTTACTTAACATCTATGGACTTCATTTTCACTGTTCTCATCTGTAAAAGGAGGGTTATTAGAGGTTTAAGTAAATGTGTGTATATGTGCATATATATGTATGACCTTAATATAGGTATGGATATATTTAATTAAGATTATATATCTTTACTTAAAATGTATCATATATCTTTTCCTGCTTTGTCTTTGAAGGTTCAAAGTTGTAGTCAAACCTCACTTGTGAGAAGTTGAGTAAACACAGAATGATATGTCCAGAGCAAGGTGCGGAGTTAAGGGACAGAGCAATCCCTCCCTGAATACACGCACATCAACAAGCTCTTTGTAAAACTTGCAGACAGTTAAAAGGCTTTTGCCAGGGGCTGGCCTGATGAAAGCCCTCATAACAGTTGCCGTCAGAGTTTACTACTAAAACAGTAGCCTTGCAAATAAGTATCATCTCATATAAAGAAAACCACTAGAAAGTGAGCTTTATAAGGACAGAGATTTTGTCTGCGTTGGGTCACTGCTGTATCTGAGTCCAAGCGAGAGCCCAGCAAACAGGTGCTCTAGCTACTTCTTGAGTGAATGGAATGAATGAAAACCTTGACTTTCCATTAAATAAGATGATCACTCACAAGCAAACAGTAGCAGGCTTTCCCAGGTCCTGACAGACCCTGAGAAGGCTGGTAAGCAGGTAAGCAGGGCTGAGGAGCAGCCTGTGAAGGGCATAAGGGCAAAGATGTACATGTAGCAAGAATTTCAGAAGACGTGGATTTGGTTAACTCGGATTTATGCCCATGTGTCACACTTGAATTACAAATATTTTGCTCAGCATCTGCCTAACTTTAGTGTCTGCACTTACACTTTCCCCCTCATGGTTTTCAGGAATCTTTTACCCATGACCAAGTATCATAAAATGACTTTCACTCTCTGAAAACATTTGTGCTTACTGTTACATTTCTACTCAGCTTTGACTGACTAAAAAAATCAGTTTGACATGATCAATATCACGGGTGGGGTTGATTATATAGCATTACTTATAAGTTAGCTCACAACCTCATAGTGGATTAAAATAATATATTCTTACAATTACGTCTGCCTTAATCAAATCTAAAGAAATATTCATCTTTACTGCTATAGCAAAAGTGTTTGTTTTTTGTTGGTTTTTATTTTTGAGAAAAGGAAGAAGTTCCCTTTCACAGCATAGGCAAGCTAACAATTTGGATAAGAAACCATTCATTTGCACATACTGTAAGTTTTCCTAATGATGTTTATAATGAAAACTGAGAAGCTATTAGTCATCCTCAGCTGAGCCATACTCAATTCTACTTGTTTATTTTATTTTATTTATTTATTTATCTTATAAGATTATTCATTTTCTTTTTTTTCCTTTTTTATATATTTTATTGATTTTTTTACAGAGAGGAAGGGAGAGGGATAGAGAGTTAGAAACATCGATGAGAGAGAAACATTGATCAGCTGCCTCCTGCACACTCCCCACTGGGGATGTGCCCTCAACCAAGGTACATGCCCTTGACCGGAATTGAACCTGGGACCCTTGAGTCCACAGGCTGACGCTCTATCCACTGAGCCAAACCGGTTAGGGCTCTACTTGTTTTTTTTTTTTAAACATTTAATAAAAACAGCAAACAACCTTAAATACACGTTTAATAGATTAGACATGATTTCTTTAAATGGTTTACATCATCTCATTTAACTTTGGAACTTGCAGACATTAATAATGAGTCACCAAAAACACTATCGATTTATAGTTTGAATTACACACCGGGCTTCGCCCAAGAACTCTGAGTGGGCCCAGAAGGAAAAAAAAAAAATGTTTACAAGTGAGCCATGGCAGAAATATGCAGAAAACAGGTAGGCCTAATGCAATTAGGGCGAACGTTGAGGTTCATTTTCTTTCAAGGAATTGTTTCTATTCTTGAAGTTCCACGGAGAAAGGCCCCTAAGGGTTGAACACTACTGAGGATGGTATAATTTGGCTTGGCCCTTGGACATGTAAGGTAAACATTTTACATTATTACACAGTAACAAACATGGACAGCCACAGATAACATAGGATCTGATCAACCTCGGAGTTTAAGGCTAACTCACGCTGGAAAACCATCATTTCCCGGATGGAGATCAAACACTTAACACAGTGTCACCTGCTGGGGTTGCTAGAAAAGACTTATTTAAACATCAGTTCATAGGATGGTTTCACATTAGTCAGTTTCTTTCCACTTTGTAGGCTAGAAGGGAGGCACTTAAGAGCTATGAACTGTAGTTTCAGGAGTACAAGACACTGGATTTCGGCAGTCTTCGATAAATATGGCAAGGAATTAAAGTGAAATTGGATTAAAAAGAAAGTAAACACACCATTAAACCACAACATTTTGCTAAATCTGGTAAAAATCACTGGCCTCTGATTTGAAGAACTTCCTCACCAAAAAAAAAAAAAAAAAAAAAAAAATACAGGAGTTATCAGCCACCTATGCCCACACAGGTGAATCCTACAGCTTCCCGATGTTTGGGCTTGTGAGGGTTTTTATAATATGGACGAGTTAGTACTCTGAGTAATATTTCCAAGTAAGGTATCATGCACGGGTCCCAAACAGCCAGAAAAACGAAAAGATAAGATGAAATTTGCTGCAAGAGTTTAGTACAACTCATGAAAACTAAAATGCCAAGAAGACCACTCCGTTTTAAACGTGTAAAAATAAATCGCATTCATGGATGGGAATCCAGAGACCGGTTTGCTTTAGTCCGCTGGCATGTACTGCACTCGCCACAACGCGTTGGAAAGCAGGTCCTGGTACACGCAAAGGAATATCCAACCAGGCAAATACATCAGGGTAATGAGGCCCATGAAATTGAGCGGGTAGTGGGAGTAGTCCCAGGAGCAGGCGCCACAGGCGCGCAGGCCCAGGCCCCAGGACAGCTCCCACAGGTAGATGAACATCACATAGATGGGCACCCGCTGCCAGGTGCTCCAGCCGCGACTGTAGTGCAGGTAGAAATAGAGCTTTTCCACCACGAAGCTGCAGCTGCCGTACATGAAGAAGGACCAGAGCGACGTGTGGCCGCTGGTGGCCCGGTCCCCCTGTCCCAGCACGTCAAAGAAGAAGGTGAAGAAGATCTCATCCAGAAAGCCGTGCATCCCGTAAAAGAGAAAGCGGAGCAGGTCCGGCAGCCCCTTGCTGGGGACGCCTTCGGTGCCCCGGGGGCCGCGGGGGCGTCGCCGCCGGCCACCCGCCGCCGCCGCGGGGGCTCGGACGCCGGGAGGGGCCGGGGCCGGGGCCGGGGCAGGCGCAGGGGCGGCGCCGGGTCGCGGCTGCAGCTGCCGCCGGCACCGCAAGCGCAGGAAGCGGCGCAGGAACACTTGCGAGTGGTAGAGCGCCAGCAGGTATTGCAGCGCCAGGTCCAGCGCCCCCGGCGCCCCCGCGCCGCCCGGCCCGGCGCCCAGGCTGAGCAGCAGCGCCCGGGCCGCCAGGGTCTGCAGCCCCACGTGCGCCAGCGGGTAGAGGAGGAAATTGAAGACCAAGGCGCTGGGGCAGCGCCGCCGCTGCAGGTAGACCTTCTCCAGGGCGAAGTGGGTGAGCAGGTGCAGGAGGCAGCGGTAGGGCGAGGAGAAGCCCAGCATCCGGAGGTCGGGGCTGCGAGCGAAGCGGCGCGCGGACGACACCAGCACGTCCAGGGTGATGCCGTGCATCCCGTAGAAGTAGAGGCGCATCCAGGCGGGCAGCTCGGTCCCCTCGGCCGCCGCTTCAGCAGCGGACAGCGGCTCGGGGCGGCCGGCGGCGGCGGCCTCGCCCCCTCGCCCGCCGGAGCCCGCCGTCCGCCGCGCCGCGCCGCCCCTCCGCGCCGGCCCCCTGCCGTCCGCGTCGCTGCCCGCCATGGGCTCCGAGGCCGCCGCGGCGCCCGATCCCACGCCGCCGCCGGGAGCCTGGGGCTGCGGAGCCGAGGAGCCCAGCCCCGGGCCGCCTCCCAGTCGCCGCCGGCCCGCGGGGGGCGCGGCGGAGCTCCGTCCTGGCCGCGGCCCGGCGGCAGCGGGAGCTGTTGCGCTCGGGGGAGGCGCGGGCCTCCCGGTGCACGGAGTCCCCGGCGCGCCCCGCTGCGCCCTCCCCTCCAGCCCGGGGCGGGGTGCCGCCCGCGCTCAGCCTGCGCGGCCTAACAGGCGCCGCGGCCCGGGGAGGGACTGCGGCGGCGGTGCCGGGGCTGCGAGGAGCAATGTCGGGGCTGGTGCAAAGCCCATGTTCCCTGCGGCTCAGCCCGCCCGCCGCCTCCGCCTCCGGCTCAGTAAAGCGTAAAGCGAGCGGCGACGCCCCGGCTCCCGGCCCTCTCGGCCGGTTCACACCTCTCCCGCCTGCTCGGGCGCCCCTCCCCGTCCCAGCCCTCCGCGCTCAGTCCCTTGGGGTCCCCTGGAGGAGGCCCGGCCCTGGCGGTCGGCCTCTTCCCACACTCTGCAGCCCGCCCCCGGCCCGGCCCGGCCCGGCCCCGCTGGAGGCGGAGGCGGAGGCGGAGGCGGTCGCTGGGGCGGAGGCACCGGGTGGAGAGCGACCTAACAGGTGCGACTGCGAGCTGATTGGCGTTCCCGGTGTCGCCAAAGCCAGCGCCAGGGCCTGGCTGGTGGAGACGCGTGGCCAAGTGCCACAGACTAGCGGCCGGGCCTGAGACCCAGCTATGGTCCTATTTCATGTCCTCATGCAAAGCCAGCTGTGTCCCAGGCCCAGAGAATAAACAGGAGGCTCCAAGCCTGCCCACTCCAGGGTTCCCTGCATCTGAAATGTTGCCTCGGGGCCTAGTCTACTTTTTCAGTCTCCCAGGCCAGTCGGCTTTCCTTGGTTAGTTTACCGCCGGCCAAGGGCAGAGATCAAAGTCCCTCAGAATGAATGCAGTGGCCCAGGCTTTGCCCAGGCTGGGGTGGGGCCTCACCGCGAGAACAGTACCTTTGCTTACAGGGCCACGCCCCAGGGCTACTCTTCCTCCTTGCAGAACTAGGTCACCCCAGAAATGAAGAGTGGAATAGAGGGCGAGGATGATGTTTTATTTTCTGAAGTGGAGAGGATGGGGGAATCCAGAATTGTGGTGTGTTTGGGCTCCACTTTTTCTCCAATTTCTAAATCAGGCTTAGAATTGGAACGAATCTTAGAGTTCAATTATACTAATACCTACCCCCTGCCCCGCCCCCTCCAACCCCCCCTTTGCCCAATAAAAGTCATGTCTGGGCAGAAACTAGGTAACAATTCTAATCTGCTCTTAGATAAGGAGATCAGATGTTTCCAGATGTTTCCTTGATGGCTAAGCACATTTTTTTTTCTTCTCTGAGAATAAATTTTCTGAGGCAATTCCCTATTTCTACAGCAACCTCCTCTCCTTGCTTCTTAAACTCCTTCTGTTCAATTTGTGGTTTCTAAGTTGTCTGTAAATTAGATATGAGAAAAATTAAGGGGATATCAACACTCGTATAAGGTCAAAGTACTGATTTTTTAAAAATATATATAGCATTGTTGACATGTGGTTTATTACAGACTTCCTTTGGCAGCTGTTAAAAGTCAGTGGAGGATGTTATCATGCTAGCTACAGAAGCACCAGCTCTCCAAACCTGCTGCAAAACAGAGACGGAGTTAGCTGCCCAAGCGCCTGAGCAGGCACAATGAAGAGAAATAATAATGTAACATTTTCTTGAGCACCTACTATATACGAGATGCTGTATGTACTGGTAAAATGTAGGATTATAAAATTCATTCTCTAAGGTATATAATCTAGTTGATATCATATCTGTGTAAAGCCTATTTACGTATTATTATTATTATTATTATTTTAACTGTTTAATAAACTATGTCTCATAAAAACTGGGTCCTAGTGTCCTATAAATTTGGGGGACTCCTGATGGGTTCTTCTCTATGAATAGCAACACTTAAGCATGGAGTGTTCCCCAAAGTATGATTATTATTAATAGCTAATTGTGAACAGCTGGTAGTACCTACCAATTAAAACATTTCAAATAAACATTTGAGCTATTGTTTTATTAAAGAAACCCAATCTTGGGCCCAACTTATCAGGTATTAAAAACAAATGCAGTCTTTCTCCATCATTGCTATTCAGACAAGGGAAAGCTCTTCACGATAATAGCATAAATACAGCCATCCCAATGTGCATACACTAATTTCCAAGGTTAAGCCTGAATTGTTTTCAAATCGTATCTAATAAAAGAGAAACATGGTAATTAGCATACGTCTGCTACCCTTCCCATTGGCTAATCAGCGAGATATGCAAATTAACTGCCAGCCAAGATGGCAGCCGGCAGCCAGGCAGCTTGAAACTAACATGAGGCTTGCTTGCTTCAGTGACAGAGGACTCCAACGTTCTCCACCTGCCTTGCCAGACTCTGAGCCTGCTGTTTAAGAAACATTGTAACAAGTATAGAAGCTAAACAAAACCCCAGACACCTGCTTTCAGCCGGCCGGGATCTCAGAGCTGGAGTTGATACTGTGTTTCGATTATAGAACCGAAACAAACCAGATACCTGCTTTCAGCAGCAGAGGCCTCAGAGCTGGAGTCAGAGCTAAAGCTGGCCCAGAATAAAAAAAAAAAGAAAAAAAGGAGCAGTTGGGAGCTTCAGTAACCCGCCAGCCTGAAAACAGCCCTCAGCCCCTCACCCAGGCTGGCCAGGCACCCCAGTGGGGACCCCCACCCTGAAGGGTGTGTGACCAGCTGCAAACAGCCATCATCCCCTCACCCAGGCTGGCCAGGCATCCTAGTGGGGACCCCCACCCTAATCCAGGACACCCTTCAGGGCAAACCAGCTGGCCCCCACCCGTGCACCAGGCCTCTATCCTATATAGTAAAAGGGTAATATGCCTCCCAGCACAGGGATGAGCTGAGCCGCGAGGCCTCCCAGCATCGGGATCAGCGGAGCTGAGAGGCCTCCCTGCACCGGGATCAGTGTGACAGGGGGCAGCGCCCAAACCCCCTGATCACCCTGAGGCTCTATGTGTGACAGGGGGCGGGGCCACAACCTCCCTATCTGCCCTGCTCTGTTCGTGACAGGGGAAGGCGCCCCAACCCCCTGATCAGCCCTGCTCTGTGCCTGATAGGGGGAGCTCCCCAACCCCCTGATCACCCTGCGGCTCTGTGTATGACAGGGTGTGGTGCCCCAACCCCCTGATCGGCCCTGCTCTGTGTGTGCCAGGGTGCAGCGCCCCAACCCTGCCCCCCACGGGCCCTGCTCTGTGTGTGACGGGGTAGAGCCATAACCTCCCCATCGGCCCTGCCCTGAGTGTGAGAGTGGCAGCGCCCCAACCCCCTGATCGTCCCTGCTCTGTGGGTGATAGAGGGCAGAGCCCCAACCCCCTGATCCGCCCTGCTCTGTGCGTGACAGGGGGGAGCTCCCCAACCCCCTGATGGGCCCTGCTCTGTGCATGACAGGGGGTGGCGCTGCAACCTCCCCATCGACCCTGCCTTGAGTGTGACAGGGGGCGGTGCCCCAACCCCCCAATCGGCCCTACCCTGATCATGACTGAAGGTGGCCAGGCTGAGGGACCCCCCTCCCCCCCGAGTGCACAAATTTTTGTGCACCGGGCCTCTAGTAGTAAAATAAACTCTAAGGGCCCACATCTTCTATTTGTTTTAACTTTTCTTAAAAATGCAAGGAAAACTTTGAAAGGTCTAAATCTATTATTCAGTCAAGTTCCTCTCAGGGCGGCGTCTTTGACCTCAGCAGGAACAAAGCTGAGTAACCGTGTCTGCAGAGATGTCGTAGTTCAGTGGAGCTAACACTGGCCTTCCTGGACTAGCCGCGTCCGAACTGGGGTAGCCAGCATGACCAGGGAGAGATTTGAGACTTAGGAGAACAGCCCTTGGTGTCTTGGGGTCATCTTTCGCTTAGTGCCCATTGGTTCAAGGTTGTAGTGTTTTAGATGCCTGGACTGGGAGCCCTTTCATTACACATCAGAAGAACAAAAAGGAAGTGCATGGAGTACACAGCACAAAGAAGAAACCTTAAAGGAAGTTCAATAGAGTGAGGCATGAACGTAATGATAGAGAAACTATAAAAGACAGCAACCATATTACCAGTAGATATAAAACATGTCTTCTTATGGATCAAATTACACACGCGCACACACACACACACACATTGTTACATACAATAGTCATCTAACTAAGGAGGACATCCATCTAAGAATGCTTGCAAGTGTCGCATGCTGTCTTCCTAAAGCTGAGCCTGTTGCTTACCATTGTAAGGGAACTCTCTAACTTGACAAAGATTTAATAGCACCATGGAGCAATGAGGGCAAGGGTGCACTGTTTATGAGGTTTTTGGAGTCTCGTTTAAAATGGGCTTTCCAGTATTCAGGCCTAATTAGAACCAGATAATGAATTATGATACAACTACAGTGGGGCCTTGACTTACGAGTGTCCGGACTAACGAGTTTTTCTAGATACGAGCCGTCCCTCGGCCGATTTTTTGCTTTGAGTTGCAAGCTAAAATTCGGGTTACGAGCCAGCTTCAGTTACCCCATCACTAGTTGGTGCAGCGAACGTCACAGTGAACACCACAACATCAGCCCAGCATCATGTGTCTCACTCGTTCACAATTGATTTGACATACGAGTAATTTGAGTTACGAGCTCCGTCACGGAACAAATTAAACTCGTAAGTCAAGGCCGCATGCAGAGGCCTAGTGCCGGAGTTCTTGTCCCAGCATCAAGAAGGGTTTAGGAGTCTGGAGAAGGTTGTGCGTAGATTAATAGGAGTCCAGAGACGAAGCATAATTTTGAAAGGCATTTTGGAGGTCAGAGGAGCTTAGCTAAAGGAGCTAAGTTCTAAGGTCTAAGGTCTTAGGTCTAAGGTCTCAGGTCTCCTCGTCTTAAGACCCCATGCTTTTTATTAACACAACTTGTCCTGAGCGAGGCAGAGATATACACTTCAAAGGGTCAGGGTTTCTACAGAGTCCATTGTCAGAATGGGGGCATTAGCCTATGGCTGTTCAGGTGTTTGGCTAGTAGGAGGCAATAGCATGTAGATTAAGATGTCCTTTAGCTGTCTGGCAGCCAAGAAATCAATTTAATGTATCCTATTCAGGTTTGGGGAAATGCCTTCAGCCATTCCCAGATGCAGCCCTGCTGTCATGCTGGAATTGGTCTCCGGCAGCCCAGTGCACAAATTGATGCATGGGTGGAGTCCCTTGGCCTGGCCAGTGATTGAGGCTGATTGGGGCCGCCTTGCCCAGTCCTGATCAGGGCTGGCCAGGTTGTGGGGAGGGACTGCGGGAGGTTGAGAGTGCACTGACAACCAGGGGCCAGCTCCTGCATTGAGTACCTGCCTCCTGGTGGCCAGTGTGCATCATAGCTACTGGCTTGTCCTCTGGTTGTCTGGTCGTCCAGTCGTAGCGATGGCTTAGGCTTTTATAATATAGATAGTTTAGGATTGGTGGACAGAGCCCGGTCAGGGTTTGGAGGTTAGGGTTTTGAAAAGTATTCAGAATAAATGGTAAGCCTCTATGTCCTGGGGCAGAGCTTCCGGGAATAATAAAGTTGTGCTGATGAAGACAGTGGAATAGTAAAGTCACGTTAACCAAGGCAACCAAAAACTAAAGTCATGACCATGCAGACAGTAAGTTGTGGGAGC